GATGCTGGAGCGTCGTTTCGTCCTTTCGTGCCCGATGTGCGCCGGGTCCCGTTTTTGGCCGCGTATTTGTCAACGTCGACGGCAACAAGTCCACGCCGCATGTATCTTCTTTTTTATGCTGGACAGGCGGGAACTGCCCGCCTTCTGGTTGCAAGCAGGGCGTTAGGCAGGGGAAGTGGCGGCACATTTGCTCATAGGATGTTGGAGCGGGAGCGGCAGCAGGAGTAAGATACTGGTAAATGAGCCAGCGGCCCCTCCCACTCCCACACTCCCTGACGTACATCGGAAACCAGTTTTGCACAGCTGGGCAACGGGACTGGCGCGCGTCCTGACATACCAGCCGGAAGGCGCTTGCGCAGGCGTGCGGCCCAGCTTCCGACGATTTGGCGACAGGACGTAGCATGCGCCGCGCTCGAACGGGAACTCAGCTTTGGGGGATGTGAACTTGGATGAGAAATTGAGATGCTGCTCGCTGGCGCGAACTCGCTTCAGCACGTTTGGCGTTTGGGAAATTGCTCAAGTGAGAACGCACTTTGAGTGGCGCTCGGGCGAGAGGGACAGGCAAGCAACGTGGGCATCAGTTCAAGGACAGGCATGGTGAAGGTCATTCAGCACTGATAACCCAGACCGCACGAAACATCAGGATTTTTATGAAAAACGCACGTGGTTTACGACGACCGCTTGGAAGAGTTATTTTGTGGGCTATCGCTGGTGGAGTGGGATCACTCTCTTGAACGAAGCATGGCTGAGGAGAGCCAAGAGTGCTCCACTACTCCAGCGGGGCACCTGGTCACAGCTTCTGGTGGCATGGCCGGCAAACGTGAGGTCGCCGTTATTATCCATAAGCGTCTTGTGAGTCACGTGCCAGATATCATTGGAATTTCTGTTCGAGCTGCATCTGTTGATACCGTGGGGGGGGGGGCTGGAAGCGAGGAATGTGAGACGGAACTGAGGTCGGAGACGCAACATAAGAAAATTAATTGTTATGTCGGTGCCGATTTCAACGCTCAAGTGGGCAGCTGCACGGGGAGCGACGATACCAGGATTATTGGTCGTCATGGTTTGGGCCTGTGTAGTCCCAGAGACGATTGGCTCAAGATTTGGGCATCATGCGAAAGGATGGTGTTTGCCAACACGCTCTTCCCAAACCAGCCGCATCAACGCTGCACGCCTATGGGGCCCAGCGCGCGGTCCCGTCAGGTCGATTACAAAAATCATGGAGGGCGCGGCGACAAGTTTCGAATGCAGATTCGCAGCCGTTCTTAAATACTGGGTCTGATCATCGTGCAGTCCGCGTGGTATTGAAGGCATGCGTGGGTAAGCCAAAAAATGAAAAAGAGAAGGGAGAAGGTGGGAATGGTCACGCCGAGTGCAACTGTTGACGAAACCGTACTCGAATATACGCTAAAGGGATATGCGTATCTCCAGGATGGTATTCCGGAGTGTAGTTGTATAGAAGAATAGATGATGCATGAAGGTTTGGAGTCAGTAGTCGCAGAACCTTGCAACCGATAAGACGGCAGACCTACGAGCTCAAGATTACAATCGCTACTACATCAGTGGAACAATCGTCGAGGCGATCCTGGCACACGTTCGCAGATAAGCAAAAACAGCAAGAGGGAAATCCGCAAGTTGCACCGCTTGGAAAGACATGAGCGCGCATCAGGAATATCTCGCTCGGGGGAAGTTTGGGAAGAGTCGCGACCATGAGTCCAAGAGGCAAGCGGGATTTGATTGCATCAGTGGTGGATTCAGCTGGGATGGGCCGCGCAGACAGACAATTCGTAGCGAATGCATTGGTTGATATTGATTCGGATCTCTGGGCGTCCCGGCACGCCCTGGGGCGCGAGACAGACATGCCGCTTGCGTGGGACGGTGAGGCGGCCGAGCTTTTTCACAGAGGACGAGCTCCAGGAGGCAGTTCGACAGTTTTCACTTGGTGACTGCAGCGACACGGCTGGAACACGCGCAGAGATGATCAAAGCAGGTGGAAGGCCTTTGGAGCAAGTGTTGTTGGTTATGTACAACAGTACCTTGGAAGATCCGAAGAAAGCCATGGCAATGCGGAGGGAATCTGTTGCGAACGAGGCATTCAAACCAGCGACCCGAACCTCCGGCCAAATTGCAGGCTGGTTGTAATGATGCCACTTATTTAGAAGTTGTTTGCCCAACCCCGTGCCCAGCGACCGGAGCGCATTCTTGGCAAGGAACAGGCGCCTGGCCAAGTTGGACTTCCAAGGTGTTGAATTGCATTGTGGTAGACTACTCATGGACAGCAGCTCCGCACAATAGAAATCGCGAGAATGGAATTACCCAGCGTGTTTTGCAGCGCTCGGTTTTAAGAAGGCTTTCGACAGCGCGGGGCGCAAATGGATATGGAAGGCGCTTCGAAGGCTGGGCGTGCCTGACGCTTGCGCAAACCAGCCATCGCTTTTCATCACTCAGGCGAGTTAGCAGAGTGAAAGCTCGTTAAAATATGCAGTGCTATTTTTGGTTTTCGGTTTCTGCTTCTGGTTTGGACCGTCGGTTGCGCCCCCGTGTTCGAAGCGATCCGTTTCTGGTGCCTCGGCAGTGGAGCGCGACGCGGCGTCTCGCGAGGGCTGGGGGCGATGGGCTCTCAGAGCGAATTTGCGACGCGAGCCATCTGGCTTATTCGCGACGCTCCGCGTATTCCTACCAGCCCCATCCACAAATAATCACCGGGCGAGTTGCCTTGGCCAGAGATGCATCGCAGCGTGCAATTGGGGGCTTCCCCATATCATCCCGGGGCTTTTGCGCGGCCCTCTCGGGGCCGCCCGGCCCCAGATGGGGGGGGGGGCGCTTGAAAGAAGGGCGGGGGGCAGTGCGGGGCGGGTGCATCTTCGGGACCTTGGCCAAAGGGCCCGCTCCTCCTACGCCGCTGGGTTGAGGCAGTGGCTCCTCTCCATGAATGCGAGGATCCGGGGGCCTTGCCTCGTGGGTCTAGGCCGCGAGGGGGGGGGGGGATGGGCCTTTTGCTGGACTGGGCGGTTCCCCTCGCCAACCTCTAGAAGCGCTCCGAGGGCGCGACCGGGGGCGAACTGATGGCCGTCCAGCACTGCCAGGTGGCGGCGAGTTACCCGAGCCCATGGAATTCGCCCACCGCCTTTGGCTGGCTTTCGGACTTCTGCGGAGGCTTGGCTGCAAGCAGCGCCGCAAGTACCCGGTGACAGTGGAGATGATGGTCTGGCTCCAGAAGAAATTCAGCGCGGGGAAGGTGGGGGGCGCCGCCTGGCGGGCGGCCCTCTCCGTCGCCTTCTTCTTCATGTTGCGCGCCTCGGAGTGCCTGGCCGACGCTGTCGAGGCCCTGGGCGGGGAACCGGATCTTGTTTGGAAGGGGCGTCACCCCCAGGAAGGCGGGGGCAGCGCGCGCCGCATTTGGAGCGGCCGACGAGGTGGCGATCTACACCGGGGGAGCCAGACGAACCAGTGCAATTCCGGGCGCTGCCGGAACCATTGCACGACTGGCAACGACTTGCATCCAGTGAGAGCCCTGGCTGAGCTGGAGCGCCTGGCCCAAGGCCATTAGCGCTGGGCGTCGGAAGCGGGCGCCCCCCTCTGTCGGGGTGAGGAAGGGAACCCTGTCCGGCGTCAGGAGGTGACTGGGCCAGGCAGCGGAACCGGCGGCGATCCGCCCGACGCGAATTCTGAGCCGCTCCCTTCGGATTGGGGGCGCGACCGCGATGCGCCGCGCGGTCCCCGACTTGGGGCGGCCCAAGCGCTTCGGGCGCTGGAAGTCGCGCGCCCTTCACGTCTACATCCAGGGGGCGCGCGAACCCGCGAAGGGGCTGGCTGGCTGAGGCCACGTTGGCCCAGAGCTACCAGCTCACCTTGGGTAGCACCAAGACGAGGAAGCAGGGGGCGGGGGCGGCGTGGTCGGGGGCCCCCCGGGAAGGGGGAAGGGCAATTTGGACGGCCGCGGGGGCGCGATTGACTAAGGGGTTGGGGCCGCGCAAAGCGGGGCCCGCCGCAGTTGAGGACCCAGGGGTGCTTTCGGCGCAGGGCACCTAGTTGGGGCGCCCCGCCCCCAGCGCCCTTGTTTACACAGACGGTGCCCACTAGGAGCGCCGCGCACTGTCGGTGGGGCGGGCTGCCCCCGCCATCGCGGAGGGCAGCCGCGCCCAGCTCTCTTGTGCCTCAGTGGCACCACGCCTCACAAAGGGCCGAACCGCCAAGGAGGTGGGCCGGACCCTCCATGTGTTTTTTTAGGGGTAGGAAGGTGGCGAGGCCCCGTTGGGCGTGGCGTGGGTTTGTTGTGGGCGGCGAGCCTTCGGCTGAACCCTTGCTTTTCGCCGCGCCAGTAAAACGGGTGCTCCTCCCCTCCCTTCTTGCATAGTGTAGGGCATCAGTCATGGAATCTGGTTTTGTTGATGCTCTCGCGCTGTAACGTGAGGATTCCCGTTTCACCGTGCGCTTGCTGTTTTTCCATCTTCTCTTCCCTTTTTCACCAGCCGTCTAGGCCGGAGTTGGCTATAGCTCCTCCTCCCTCCCACCCTGCTTTTTCCCGCCCTTATGTGGGCGGGCGGCGAGCCTTCGGCTGAACCCCTGCTTTTCGCCACATCAGTAAAACGGGTGTTCCTCCCCTCCCCTCCTGCATCGTGCGGGGCCTCACTCAGGGACTCCCAATGTCGGTAAGGCCATCCATACCAATAAGCATGATACGCACCTGGAACCCCTGTAAACGCGCCTGCCCTCTCCTCCTCCCTCCCTCCCTCCTCCTCCTCCTCCTCCTCCTCCTCCTCCTACTCCTCCTCCTCCTCCTCTTCTCCTCCTCCTCCTCCTCCTCCTCCTCCTCCTCCTCCTCCTCCTCCCCGTCCTCCTCCTCCTCCTCCTCCTCCTCCTCCTCCTCTCCTCCTCCTCCTCCTCCGCCTAATTCTCCTGCTCCCCCATTCCTCCTGCCACTCCCACGCCCCTCTACTCCCCCCCCCCTCATCACTCCCTTTTCCTCCAATCCCCGGCGTCGGCGGCGACAGCTCCCAGAGGCGATGCAGCAACACTTGTTGGAGGAGATGAGCTTGCCCGTGCACGAAGTCGGACAGGATCGCTTTTATTGCGGCCCGGCCAGCCGCTTCCGTCGTTTTTGCCGATGGCGACGTGTTGATTCCCTTTCCTAAAAAGAGAATAGACTCTACCCCCCGGCGTTATCGCTAACCCTTTCGAGTATGTAAATCAAATATTATTACGACCACATGTCCATCCTTAACATGAAATCGCAATGTCCCAGACCAGCCGGTATCCCCCCTGAGGTTCCCTTGTGAAAAACACTATGCGGTGACATTTTTGTTATAACATAGCACTGTTTCACGAATCTTTGGTAAAACATGGGACGAAATGCGCACGCGCGCGTCGTCGCGCGCGCATGCCGAAATCCTTCAAAAACCCTCGGTGTCGGAAGGATTTCGCAATCGAGTATCCACAAATCACCACCCACCAAACCACCCCAACCCAACCCGAAGGTCTCGATTTGCCCTCCATTTCCAGTTGGGGGGGGGTCGGGGAACATCGAGAAAACACATATGGAACCCGTACCCCCCCCAACCCGACATTCGGGTCTTCGGGTTGGGTTGGGGTGGTCTGGTAGGTAGTCAACAAAGCATACAAAAACACATGGTTTCGCAACATTGATGTGCTAAAAAAGCTTACGCGCGAGCTCTTGCGAAATCTTAAGAAAACCATAGGTTTTTCAAGATTTTCACAACATACTACCAAACGGGCTTCGCGCGCGCATGTCGAAATCTGTCAAGCGCCCTTGCGCGTGTGCCGTTGCGAGAATCCTCTGCAAAAAATGGGATGGAGTGCAGACGCGCGCGTCGTCGCGCGCGTACGCCGAAATCCTTCAAAACCCATCGGTTTCGAAAGATTTCAAAATCGGGCGTCCAAAAAACCTACAAAAACACAAGGTTTCGCAACACGGATTTTCAACAAAAGCGTGCACGCGCGCTCTTGCGGCGGCGTCGTCGTCGTCGTCGTCGCCGTCCTCCCTCCTCCCGCGTCGTCGTCGTCGTCGTCGTCGCCTACGTCGTCCTGTGTCTTTCCTTGTGTTTGTCGTCGTCGTCCTCTTTGGCGTCGTGGTCGTTTCCGTCGTCGTTGTCGCCGTGGTCGTCCTTCCTCCTCCCTCGTCGTCGTCGTCGTCGTCCGTCGTCGGCGTCTCGTCGTCGTCCCTCTATTTCGTCGCCGTCGTCGTCGTCGTTGTCTTCGTCCTCTCGCCGTCGTATTCCCTCCTCCCTCGTCGTTGTCGTCGTCGGCGTCGCCGTCCTTCGTCCTTCTTCGTCGTTCGCGTCGTCGCCATCCTCCCTCCTCCCTCGTTGTCGTCGTTGTCGTCGTTGTCGTCGTTGTCGTCGTTGTCGCCGTCGTCGTCCTCCCTCCTCCCTCGTCGTCGTCTTCGTTGGCGACGTCGTCGTCGTCTTCGTCGTCGTCGTCGTCGGCGTCGGCGTCGTCGTCTTCGTCGTCGTCGACGTCGGCGTCGTCGTCGTCGCCGCCGTCGTCGTCGTCGTCGTCGTCGTCGGCCGTCTTGCTTCTCCGGCCTTCTTGGGGCGCTCTTGAGACGCCCCCGAGGGCTCCAAGACGACCCCGGAGCGATATCTGTGCTCGGTCCCGCATGGGTTTTGCAAACCAAGTTGCGGGTGGGTGGGTGGGTGGGATGATTGCGCGAGCAGTGGAGCTGACAACTTCAAGTTCGGCAAGTGAGTTTCCCCCATAAGCTTCCTCATCATTTCTGACCGGTCTATGTGTTCAAGTCTTTCTTCTTCCGCACAATCGCAGTGTTATTCTCCGTCGTCGATTCGTATCCTCCATGCTCATTATGTCTTCCTCTCATACGCCTTCTCCTCTTGCCCATATCGTTCTTCATCATAGTGCGGCGGCCTTGCGACCGGCGCCGTCGACCCTGAAAAGAGAGCAGTTGCTGAGCAGCTTGTGCGCAGGAGGTGGACGGGGTAACGGGGCCAATGGGCAGTAGCGGGTCCGATGTGGAGGCAAGAATCCAGTGGTTTCCTGGCCTGTGTCGTGTTCCAGAGGTCTTGAAGGCCTTCTGCTCTTGGATTGGGAGCTTCTTGAGGTCCCCTGGGGTCCTGCAGCCTGTAGGGTCCGTTTGACGGCTTCCTGGGGCCTCTTGCAGCTCCTTTGGGAGCCGTTGGGGGGCCTCTTGGGGGTCGTGGGATCACGTTGAGGGGGTTGGTTTCAAGCGACGCGGTGGTGGCGCGCTTTTTTGGCCACTCCTGAAAAACCATCTTCGGGGCCTCAGGCCAGCCTTGGGGGCCTCTCTGGCCTTCTTTGGGCTGGTCCTGGGGGCTTCTAGGGCCGTCTTTGCCGCCCTGGCAGCCGAGCAGGCGAGAGTGTCTGGATCGCACAGCACCTTTTTGGGGACTCACGCGGTTTAAGTGAGAAGGTGCCTGGCAGAAACCAAACAGTGAGCGCCCGACCCGCGACGAGCACAAGCACTGTTCGGGCTCAAACAAAACTAGCAGCGGACAGCACGCGCGCTATTTTGGCAAACGCAGGCGCGTGCCGTCCTCCCCCACTCAGGCTAGGCCTCAGCAGAGGCCCAGCTGTGCCGCCAGACCGGCGGCTCCTCGGCCCGAACCGCTATGCGGTCAAGGCCGAAAAAAGGAAAAGGACCTACGAAGGGCCAGGGAGGGCCTGGGAGGGAAGGGCCCGAGAAGGAAACTTGAGCCCCAGAGGGGCCGCGGAGAGGGGGAAAGGGACAGGAGGCAAGAGAGACCCTTCCCCCCCGCCAGGCACTTACTCCCTGAAACCCTACGTTTTACGCACGCTCAAACTCTCACGTTTAAGTGAGAAGGTGCCTGGCAGAAACCAAACAGTGAGCGCCCGACCCGCGACGAGCACAAGCACTGTTCGGGCTCAAACAAAACACTAGCAGCGGACAGCACGCGCGCTATTTTGGCAAACGCAGGCGCGTGCCGTCCTCCCCCACTCAGGCTAGGCCTCAGCAGAGGCCCAGCTGTGCCGCCAGACCGGCGGCTCCTCGGCCACCCAGCTCTTCTTGCTCCCTCGGCGCCCGTGGCTTGCGGGTGGTGCCGCACGGGGCTCACGGCTGGGCGCCTCCCCGCGCAGCGCGTGCCGGCCCTGGCGGAGCACCCGCCGGCCTCCTCTACCTCTCCTCGGGGACCGCACTGGCGGGACGCCCCGGCCACCTCCACCTCTCCTCGGGGACCGCACTGGCGGGACGCCCCGGCCCTCGACCTCCTCACCTCCGCTCGCCCCCTCGGCGCCCGTGACTTGCGGGTGATGCCGAACGGGGCTCGCGGGCCTCCTCCACTCCACCTCTGTCTTTCCTCCTCCATCCGTCGATCCGAGGGGTCACCACTGCCCCCAGGCCGCTGCCCCAGGACTGCGCACAATCCAACATCAGCCCCTCCAGTGGTGACGCGCCTTGGCACAAAGCTCGCACTCCTGCTGCTATCCTCAGGCCGCTGACTTTTCCTTCACTTCGGCGGCCGGTCCATCTCCCGCCACATCAACCTTGTACCCCACATGCAGGGTTGCAACGGACTTCGCCATCGCCTCCGATACTCCAGCGGCGTCCTCGTTCGCCTCCCACAAATACTGATGGAAGGCTCCGCTATTCCACCGCCCCCAACGCTTGACCAGCTCCGTGTCCTGGAAGCAGTGGTACAGGGCCGTCGCTCCGCCGATTCGGAGTGAATGGCTCTTGAACCTGTCAGGCGGGTAGCCTTCCAGCGCCGCCGCCTTCTGAAGCAAGCCCTGGATACGCTCCCGCGTAATCGGGCTGCCGTCTTCCCACCTCGCAAGTGGTAGATGTGCCTCTTTGCCTGCGATACGGCTCGGGAACCAACGGTTGTAGCACTCCGCCGCCCACACCGGGCAGATGCCGAACGGGTCATTCGAGCGGTAGTGGTTCCTCGCCTGCCCTGCTCCCTTCTGGTCCGCCTTCGACGCCTTAAACCACAGCACCACCTCGTCCGCGGCAGCGAAGTGGCTCACCTGCTCGCCCTTGCACTTCGGGGCAATGTCCAGCCCGGTCAAGACCTTCTTCAAATCCCAGTGCCCCGAGTGAGCGTACTCCCCAATCCGCATCATGAAGAAAAAGGCGAAGATCACGCAGAAATACAAGGCCGCGTCGTCCGCGCAAGTGTCTGGCTTCAGCATGTCCCGGATTCTCCTCAGCATCTTGATCGTCACCGGGAGCTTCCTCTTTCCGGGCCCTTGCCACTTCTCTATCCCACTTAACGCCATCCACAGCCGCGGCTTCCCCGCCAAAGGGTCGGGCTCACCCAGCATTACGTGGTGTGAACGGATCCCCAGCAACTTTGACCGTATCGTCCCGTGCGACCGCTTCAGGCTGTTGTACAAGTGCACCATGAATAGCAGCAGCTCCTCCTCGTCTTGGTGACGCTCTTCACGGGTCTCGCCATGCAGGATGGGCGACCTCCGGCGGATCCGGCAGAACGTCGTCCACTGCCTCCAAGCGACACCGTAGGTCGCCTTCGTCCCCTTTGCCACCGAAGCCACCACGGCTGCGTCTACCAACCTCTGGAGCTCTGGCGCGTACCCAGCATCGGCACGCCCGCCGGCCCGCCTGGAATCCTCCCTGGCGATCCGCCTGAGCTGCCGCTCGAGCCCTTCGCTGCCCTGTCCGCTGCCCGCTGCCGCTTCCAGGTACCGGCTCACCGCCTCCGGGTCGATGTCCTCGGGCGGTCCGGCCTCCGGTGCCGCACTCCGCGCCACCTCCTCACGCTCGCACTCCTTTCTTTCCCCGTGCCCGGGGGCGACCGCGGCGGCGCTCCCTGCCTTGGCTGCCCTCCGCGCTGCCGCCAACCGGTCCTTGGCCACCGAAATGGGGTAGGGCTTGTTGCACATCGGGCAGCTCGTGTCCCGGCCCTCGCCCTGCACACCGCAGTACTCACACCACGCATAGCGGGCGTCTGGGCCGCCTCCTGGGAAAGGAACCGGCCGAAACGCTTCGGCCTCCTCCTCTGTCTCTTCGTAGTCCTCCTCCGAGTAGGACTCAGGTGAGTTGAGGTCCCTCACGGCCTCGGCAGCACGTGCCGGTCCGCCA